TATACATATTATATATATATATATATATATATACACACACATAAAACTATACGTGTATCAAATAATACGTTTTTATTTCAAATATTTATAATAAAAATATATTATTTTATATTATTAATTAAATAGAATACAGATTAATTAATAGCCTTATTTCAAATATTAATTCAATTAGATATTAGAAACTTTAAAAATATAATAAAAAAAATATTATTTTGTAACTATTTTATATTAATCCATTATAAATAATTTATAATTTATAAATATGTTGTTTATATTCAAAATAAAATTTTATTTTCGAATTTCTTCAAAGAGATTTTTATTTTTGATGATAAATCTTTAAACATTTGAATGGATTGAACAATTGTATAATGAAGTAGAGTTTCAATAAGAATAATAATAACAAATATCACAGAATTTTAAGAAGCTATAATAAAGAAAAGGAATTATAAATATACACGATTCAAATTATTTTCGGAAGTTACAAAAAATATATTTATTTATCGAGAGTTAATATTTCTTCATTCAATGAAGAAAATAATTATATTTATTTTCTTAATAGTATTTAATACACGTATAGAAATATTTAATATAAATTAAAAAATATGGCCAAGTAAGCACATGCGCGTATACATATACGCTCAAATAAAATAAAAAAAATATATCTTGAATTCTTATAGAAATCAAGGAACTACATGTACCTAAATAGTTTATCGCATATCTATTTTTTATATCTGTGTTTTATATACAAGAAGTTCCATATTAAAAATATGTTTTTTAAAATATAAAATAACATGCATAAAATTATGCGTTCTCTTTTATCCTTTGACATTCACATTCAAGAATATTATATTGAATTATTATCATTATGTAATTCTTTAATACTTATTAATTTTTATTAATTATAATCGGCGATTCCAATGAATTTATATCTGTCGAAAGATATTTTTTACGAGTTCGTACGTACTGTGATGGCGCTGTTCTAATTTGAATATGACAAACTGCTTTTGCATTTTCTTTTGGATCATTAATACACATATTTTGTTTTTTTGAATCTGTAACTTTAACTAAATGAGTACAATTCTTTCTCTTAAGATTATTAATTTCTTGTCTTATTGGTGCTACAGATGAACGAGTTTTGCGAGGTTGATAATCTGGTGTTGCTTGCATTTTTTCTAAAGCAGTACGTAATGGTAATAAACCAACTGCAAATGGAATTTCTGTATTTGGTGAATTTTCTAGCAAATTTATTCTATTTTTATAATCTTCTGCAAAATCTGTCATATCACCCCATAATGCACGATTTATATGTTCTATTGTATTTAATTTAGGTAACGTAAAAATGGAATCAATATTTGTTGTTTCTGATATGCCACATTTTAATTTACTTGTTATTTTAACTGTTTGCTCATTTTTTTCTTTATTAGATATTATACATTTATTTTTTTTAACAATTAATTTTGTATTTCTACGAGAATTATTAAATGTTTTCTTAATAGGTTGTATTACATTATTAATAACTTGTTCTGGAACTTTACGATCTATGTCCTTTATTTTACGTTTTCTTTTAATACATAATTCCGTTTTATTTGAAAAATTTGATTTTTTAAAATGTTCTTTTCTTTCAGTAGAAGTTTTAATAGTTTCATTATTATTTATAGTTTCTTCTATTTCTTGTTGATTTAATCGTAAACTTCTTCGTAATATTGGTTTTGAACAATTAGAAATTTCAGTATCTTGAGTATTTAATTCTGTTTTATTTATATTATCTTGTTGTGCATTACATTCAATAATTTCTTCTAATTCTTTACATTTGCTTAATGTATGCTGTTCTGTTAAAGTAGTTCCTACTATAGATTGAATATTTTTAGTATTTAAACTTATAATATATTCAGCACTCTCCATATCTAGCGATGTTAAAAGTGTAACTGGTATATCAGTAGTGGACGGCTCATCCAATAAGTCTATACAATCAGTAGATGGTGGATTCTGAATTATGTTATTCATATCTGTTAATTTATTTTTTATTTCATCTATAGATTTTCGTCTTTTATGAGTGTAAACTTTAATACATTTTCCTACTTTATTAGGAACATCAGCACCTTCAAATTTATATTGTGCAAAGTCTTTTTCAATTTGTTGAAGGCAAGATTGTGATAATGACATAGAACTTTCTTCACATTCGTCAATATCTGAAAGATCACAGCATTGTTCATATAATATAGGTTTTAATTCGTTATTTGTACACAAAGTATCACTATTTGTTATTCTATTTCCAGGATATTCTATTTCCTCATTTGATATTTCTTTCATTTTATCATTTGTTAATAGAATTAAATTTTCATTTCCCATTAATTTTGTAGAATTACCTACTGAAAATAATGTATTAGTTTGTTCTGCATTAATTTCAAAATCTTGTGACTCTTCATACAATATATGTTCTAATTCTTGTTCAGGAGAATCACTAATTGTATTACCTTCTGAAGATTGATTTTCACTTGTATTCACATCACTACTCTTATTACAAAGTACAAAGCACTCGTTCTTAACAAGTTCATTACACTTTACATGTATATAATCTGTATTATTACATGTATTGCTTATAATCTTTGTTTTAGTAACTTCTTTGTCCATGTCATTGATTTCAAAACTTCCTACATTAGAACTCATCATGGCATCAACCACAGTTGTCAATTCTTTAACCTATATGTATACAAAAAATTATTAATATTGATATTGATAGTTTTTTTAATTCATAAAAAAAAATTGATTTTTACAGAAAAATTTTATGATTAGTTCTCTAAAAATTTAAATGAAATTATAGTAAACATCTAATAAGTTCAACAATAAGGACACATAAAATATTTTATTCTAATATAGATTTTTTACAAACAAAAAATAATTGATATATGTAATAAAACTTCTTATGTTTAACCTATATATAAATATTAAATAAATAGATTAATTGAATGAGTTTACAATATGATTATATTTTATAAATAGAAAATCAAGTTCTAATCTTTATATAGCTATTGATAGTGCTCTTCTAATATTATTTTGTTAGAATTTTATATTTCATAAATTTAAAAAAATATTATTATTATCATTTATTAAAGATTCTACATTTTTTTTATAATAAATGTTTATTCATTTTTATAAATAATTTTATAAATAATTATGAATTTAAATTTTTTCTACTATACATTAAAATAAAATTTAAAAAAATTTTTTCATTTATTTTATACATTTAAAAAAATTTATATTTTTTA